TATTGGAATATATATATATATATATATATATATATATATATATATATATATATATATATATTTTATTTTTTTTTTGAAACACATGTTATTGTAAATTAAGAGTTTACAAATCAAAAAAATTCTGTTTGACAAGATTAGTTAGATTATCTTTATCTATTATGCTGAAAAAGAAAAAAAGAAGTAAAAGATCCATGTGAATACACATGAGTTAAAAACTTCTTTAGTCCAATAAATTATCATGTATTGTCTCTTTACCAGGAAAGTTGATAATAAAACTATTAGTAGAAAAAATTAAAAATTAGTCAATCTTATTTTTAAAAATAAACCCATCATATAAATTAATATTTAAATATTTAATAATTTTAATTAATACATCAACTGAATAATTACATATTTGTTTATTATCAACTCACAATCATTTACAAAATTATTAAAATAATTAATCAAATTAAAAGTTCACTTTCCCTGTTATCCGATTAAGGAAATCAGTGTCGATTAGTCAAAATGTTTTAGTCTTTCTATAATAATAATTGTCAAATATACGATGAGATAAGAAGAAATAATTGGTCCTTACGTTTACTATTCCTCTAAGGAATCTACATTAAAATTGAAACCATTATTTTTCGGATCAACGAATTCTTATATTTATATAGCACTTGAACTCAGTTCTTGAGTTTAATACATTTTTAAAATTTGTTTTAGCAATAATGCATGCCTCCTTAGACTTAATCTCCCATGTTAGTTATGTGCCGACCCTTTCTCACTTCTCACCATATTTTGCAGGAAATGTGGGAAAACATCATCATAACTTGTCCCAAAAGTACTTTCCTTCGCTACTGGTCATTGTCTTTGGAAAAAGCTCTTACCGATTTTCATTTTTGTACTCTCTTTATATTTGTTCCTTAACCACTTGGACGTTAAAATCACTTGGTGGTCACCACCACCATTACACGCACATTCTATTACATATATCAAATTTATAAAATACCTTTTACAATTCTATTTGTTTCCGTTATTTCTTCCTTTAATGAACTATATATTATTAATCACGTAATTTTTCTATAGTATTCTTATCACGCATTTTATTGGTTATGTAGGCAGAAAAACAAAAGATAAGTGGTGTAATTGAAAAATAAATGTCAAATAAGGAAACTGAAAGAGAAAGTCAGTACATATTTTTAGTTATAACTTTTTATTATATGTTTTCGTAAAAATATGCAGAAATTCTAAAAGAAACTAATTGAACTAAGTTTACAGAAATAACATAAGTTCTATTTAGGTAAATTGTTTGGTTTCGTTAACAACCTTAAAAGAAAAAGCTTGTCAAACTCATCATGTGTTTTTTCAGCTGAATTCGGATTATGCGGATGAGAATATACAGAAAGATATTTCTCCTCTTATTAGTGTGGATGTTATAGGCATTCATTCTATTGATAGTAAATCCACATATGCCATGAACGAACCAACGGCTACATTGATACTCTAATATGCGGAAAAAGGAAGTGTGGTGTCTCAAAAATGCTTTCTCCGTTGGTTTCTTGGTTCTTGTCTCCTTCCTCCTCCTCTTCCTCTTCCGAAGAAGAAGAAAACCTTGACATTAACACTCAGGATCACACTAAGCATCAAAACCACCAAAACTTCAATACACAAGATGATGATAATGACCAATATCTTAGCTCATGCGATGTGGATGAAATCATTCCCGTTGCTCTTGCCGTTCCCAGTGCCACCCCCGCCGTGACGGTGGCCTTTCCGGCCGACGATGACAGAAGCACGGTTCCCGGCACCACCGCCACTGCCACCACATTTGTAACACGCTCAAAAGGGCAGTGCTCCAACAAGTATTCGGGCATTGTGAGACAATATCAGAGACTGTGGACGAAGCAGGACGAGAAGGAACTGCTAAAGGGATACCTTGATTACATTAAGCAGCATGGGAGGACAACCACCACCCTCCAAAACGACGTAGCCTCGTTGTATGATCACGTGAGGCCCAAACTGAACGTCGATTTCAACAAGAATCAGCTTGTTGAGAAGCTGCGTAGACTAAAGAGGAAGCACAAGTTGGCTTTGAACAAAGGCACGGACAAGGAAGTTCCCTTTAGGAACCCCCAGGAACAGGCCATTTTCGAAATTTCAAACAAGATTTGGGGCAATGACACTGATATCCTATTAGACCAAGAGTCTTTGGATGGTGATGCGTCGGGACGCACTCCTGAAAGTCGTTACCTTGGGGGCAACGTTAAGGTGAAGGTTGATCAACTTGACAACAGTGATGAAATAGACGAGAGAGTGCCAAAGCGGTTGCGGTTAGATGATGCAGAAGATGTGAACAGAACAAATGAACATAACAATAGTGGCAGCCTGCAGGTCTTCATTGAGGAGACCATGAGGTCCTGTTTCTCCCCATTGCTGAAGGAAATGTTGGATGAAGTAAACCAAGAGCCACCTCCTGGGTTGGTGCCAATCCCATTGCCGCTATTTCCTGAGAAAGTAGACCATGGGCAATGGAGAAAACGAGGGATTTTAGAGCTGGAGGTGTATTTGAAAAGGTTGGAGTTGTTGCAGGATCAGATCAAGGCTAGATTGGAGGAATTGCGATCTAGACGGGAGGTGTATGATAAAACTTCTCCAGGATGTGCAGAAACAGCTTGTGCTTTATCCAACACCAACAACTTCAACGAATAGTAATATCTCTATCAATTCTGTAATGTTTGTGGTAAACAAGAAATTTAATTATATGTATCTTGGAATATATGGATGACAACCTTAGGTTCTTGTTCATGATAAGTTGTCATTTGTATATTCAGTGCATTATAAGCCCAATCGCCTCGTCATATGGTTTGAACAACCTTTACCTCCTCCTACGCAACTCTCCAATAATTAAATATGTCATTCATGAAGCTAACATATCTATAATCATTTGCAGCGTCTTAAGCAAACAGATCATTCATAAATTTAACATATAAACGGCCATCTGCAATGCCTTAAGCAAACAGAATGAATGAACTAATGAATGCCTTCATAAAGTTATGTAAACTTTGTATTTCTTGAATTTATGAATGTCGTTATAGTAAGAAATTGAATTTTTCCTGAACAAATGCATCTTGTGTTCACTTTTAATTAGAAAACTAAAGCAAATCAGTACAGAGTAAACTTCTCTTTTGTCTTCTCAAATACTTGTTCTGCAATAACAGCACCGCTACCATCGGCTTTTTTTATCTCTAACTGGGCCTTCTGATAGAAACCCGTTCCCCTCAGTGCATCGGCAATGAAATCATCAAATCCAATTGCTATTGCAGCTTCTGCTTTAGCTCCGTAAACCAATCTCTGTTCGATGCGAACAGAATGAACAATGCGATCATTTTAATAAAAACTACGGAAACATGTGGTGAGAGGAAAATATGAATGATGTAGCTGGCTCACCTTAATTCTTGAAAGATGAATAGCACCAAAGCACATTGGACAGGGCTCACAAGAAGCATAGATTTCACAGTCAGCAAGTTCAATTTGATTCAGCTTTTGACAAGCCTACAGATGACAGCCAATTATATAACACGAGGTCCTAAATGACGTATATTAAGAACATAAGTAGGCAAGTGATACGGAGTTTGTTTGGAGGAAAATTCTTCACGAACACTTTGGGGAGAGAAAACTAAGAGGAAAAAAAATGAAATTAATTTACCACAAGCCAAAATTAACTTATGCATAAGTTAAAAAACAGATTTTGGAGAAGCCAACAGGAAATAACTCAAAAAATTAGTTCATGCATAAACTAATTTTCACTTATGGAGAAGTTGACATCATTTTCTTTCAAATTTTTCTCTCTCCTAAGTGTTCATAAAAAAATGTTTCCATACAGACTCTTGTTCAAGGAATTAAAAAGTGGTACCGGATATAAAATAATCAAATCCCTTACATATATAACAGACTATATATATATATATATATACAGACTCTTGTTCAAGGAATTAAAAAGTGGTACCGGATATAAAATAATCAAATCCCTTACATATATAACAGACTATATATATATATATTCATTTTTATAAATATATATATATATATATAGATATATATATATATATATAGTCTGTATATATGTAAGGGATTTGATTATTTATATCCGGTACCACTTTTAATTCACTTGAACAAGAGTCTGATGGAAACATTTTTTTATGAACACTTAGGAGAGAGAAAAATTTGAAAGAAAATGATGTCAACTTCTCCATAAGTGAAAATTAGTTTATGTCATGA